TCTTTATAAATTTCCTTATATGGTGCTAAGCACTTATGAAGAATAAAGCAAGTATGGAATAAGGGAAAAACATTCGGCAACATCAGGAGCAGAAGCGTCGCGATCTGGCAACATTGAAACAAGTTTCGAGAAGGACCACTTGTATCGACAGAAGGCGAGAAGAGAAAATTTACATACTTAAGTACTAATAGTTTACGAAAATAATAATTTTTGTGAACTATTATTACTTAAGTATGTAAAAATTTATTACATTTCCTGTTGTACGACGGTTTTACCCAATTCTCGAACCGTGTTAGAGTGAATCAGTGCTATAGAAGTGCTGTGTTATACAGGGGTTACCTGTATAGCTATGCAAATCTTGCAACTGCTTGGCAACACATTGAAATGAAGTTCATTCAGAGAGAATTTTTGGAGACTTTTCTCATAGTTTTTCTTATGTCATATGTCTTGCATATAAAAGGCAGTCATCTTTAGTTGTTCACATTAATGTCTGTGAAAAATGATGAAAGTTAAGGCAGTAAAGGAATTAATCAAGAAAATTTTTATCCAGAAGTATAAAGAAGGATGTAAATGCAGCATTGCACAGGATGTGCAGATAGCTCAGTCCAGAGGATTATAAAATGTTTTCAAGAAAGATGAAATACTCATCTAGATAAAGCTTTAAGAAGAAAACTACCTCTCAGTTCCAGACAACTACAGTCCTTTTGATGCTATATTTCCCAAAACAGCCAAGTTTCCATAGAAGATTTAACGAAGTGGGCAAGGGAATACTTTAATATCCCATTATCTGAAATCACAGTGTGTGGCCATATCTGTCAGTGCAAATACAAATTGTACAAATTCAAGGGAAACCTCTCATAAATGAATCATGCAAGTGCAGATGTTTAGCTTGGTGAACTAATATGAAGTGGATGGAAATACTATGGTTGGATGAATCAACATTTCATGTAAACTATAGGAATACAAGCAAGAAAATTATTTGTACTAAAGATGAAGTTAATAATCCAGTATGTTATTCAAGACAAGTCCAGAAACCACAGTCTGTAATGGTTTGGGGATGCATAGCACAGAGAAAGTTGGATATTTGCATTTTTATGATGTATTGTGATCTCTGAAGCCTATATTCTAATCCTTCACCAACATTTATGTGAATTAAAGCTTAAATTTTTCCAAGAACAAGTCTGTATTTTTCAGCACAACAATGCCTGTACACACAATGCTAGGTAAATCAAAGCTTGACTAAAGTCTAATCAGATATGTGTACACCCCTGGCCAGCATCAAGCCCAGACCTATCTCTGATAGAAAATATATGGAGAGTTTTGAAAACAAAGATGACTCAATGCCATTCTTACATGTTAGAACAATTACATATGTATTTAAGCCGAGAATGGGAAAACATTTCCATGCAGTTGTTGCACAAGTTTGTATATTTCCATGTCTCAATGCCTTGCAACTCTTATAAAGCAAAAAAGGTGATGCTATTCTATACCTGATTACTGAATCTTAACACATTGAACAAAGTTCAAAGAAACATGTTGCAAAGGCTCCACAGAGTATAAATTACATTCTTTAATAGCAAAATTTTTCCAAAATCTGAGTTTTTGATATGCTTGTATGATCACTTATGTTTATAATAAATTACTTTTTGTTACAAAACAAACATCTGTGTATTGTATTATAAATTGTTTTTAGTTTTACTGGTGAAGGAAATTCATTGCAAGTGAGGCTATATTAATACATTTGCATTCTTGGCAATTAATTTTTGACAATTTCCATGGTTGTAATTAATTTTTCTAAACATACTCAAAATTGGTAAAACTTTTATTATCTGCAAGATTTGCAATACTATTAAATGCCTCACTGATGACAGGAAATTATGTCTTGCTGTAAGTTATATTGAGAAATAAAATTTATAACAGCAAGAAGTAAATTGTTAAATAGATATTTATCCTGAAATTAATTAAGGTATATTGTAATCAAATATTATTTACAAGAGTTGTTTTTATTAACTATTTCTGCATGTAAATTTATTTTTATTGAAGTTATGTTTTTAAAGTAGAAAGCAGTCTAACTTTTACTAATTAATTAAATTTTAGAAACATTAATTTATACATTTTAATAATAATAAAATAGATAATATTTCATTTTACATATTGTAGCCAACTGATGCAGTAGAATTATGCTGTTTTGATTTAGAGGATTCAGAAAAATGGAAATCTATGTCACCCGATGCCATAAAGTTAGTTACAACTTATGTACCAACTGTTCCAATGATAATTCCATCTTCATTGGACTCAATGCAAGCAAGTTATGATATGGAAGAACAGTTAAGACATTTCACTGCAGAATTTAGAAAGGTACAAATAATTTATTCAGAAGTTTAATTTGATTGTATTACAAGTCCTAATTGATAAGTATTAGCCTCATGTCTTATATGTCGATATAATTCTTGTCATACTTTAAACTGAAATATATTTATTTAATGGATACTGTACAAATGTTTGGCTATTAATAACAATATAAAGTTAAGAAGTAAGAAATTTTTGTTTAGTTATGTATTTCATCATAAATACATTTCAAAACAATGTTCATTACATATAGATTCAATATTTTTTTAGTTAAAATATTTTTGAAACTTTCTTATGAAAATGCATTATTCATATCAAGAATGAATAAAATATTTTCAAATATGTACAGATATCCCTCATACAACATGGTTTCACTGTAATGTGGTTCAAAATTTGGGGAATCTCATACAACATGGTTTGAATATTTGGGAAATTCTCCATACAAAATTTCACAATTTTTTAGTGCAAACTCTGTTATTTGATGTTTTTTTATTCAAGTAAGCATGTGCATTGTCTCAAATTTGTCTATGGATTGTAGAATATTGAAATTTTCAATTTGTTTTGTGCCTTTTGTCAGGTTTACTTTAATGAAAACTGATAGTGCAATTTTTCTATATGTAAGCATCACAAAGCTCAATATATACTAAACCAAATGATTGCTGTAATTAATTGGGATATTTTTTGTTACTATTAATAATTAGATATTAAGTAATTTGGTATTAGAGGTAGATATTAGGCACTATCTCTTATAAAANTATGAAATACACATAAATGCACACATTGTCCAGCAAAAATTACTGGCATCTTAAACTTCAAGGAAAAATCTTGTAAAATTGACAACATAATTTGTTTATGTAAAGCTGGAGAATCGAGAATCTTTTTTGCTAATTCTTAACAGTCAAATTCACTCTTCATCAATTACATTTATGAGTTTCTTCGAATTTCCAAATAATCATCTGTTTTCATGTGGAAATGTATTAAAACTTATATAGGGCTCCTGTGTAATTTTGGAATTCAATTTAAAAGCTTTGCTTTTCTTATTGCTATTCATCTTTACTCCTGGCAATACACAAGGACGATTCAAATGAGCTAGATAAAATACTTTTGTTTTTAAACACCAGAAGGTGAGAATCTGGTAAAATATGCAAATACATAGTTTACAAAAGTTATACAGAAACAAAAAGAATCCTTCGCTCGCACGTATAGGATGACCTAGGTTTTTGAAGCAGTGAAAAATGGATAAAAACCTTGTTCTATATGCGAGTAAATACGGTACTTGAATATTTTTAATATTGAGTTTAACTGATGCAATTTTCAAATGTAATACTAGAATGAAGATTCAAAGTTATTATGCAGACCTCTATCTGCTAATTATAAAGTGAGAAACTTCTTACAATAATAGTAGGAATATTATATTTTCTCACTATTTGTTTTAATTATGAAAAGCATTAACTATTTTATATATCTTCTTATAAAGAAAATTAACTAATTTTTAAGTGAAAATTTTATTTTCATTTAGAAGTTAGTTCTTGTAAAGTTTTGTTCTAAATTTATATTGTGACTAATAAATTTGATCTTTAAAAAATTTTATTATTTCTTATTTATTAAATCTTATTTTTAATTTTATATTTATTTATTAAATCTTATTTATTACAAAATAAATTTATTTTGTAATAAATAAAATTATACACAATAGAAATGTCTTTTACTGGGATTTACTATTTTTAATTTCAGATAGAGGAAATTTATCATTTGATTCTAGCACACTCTTATCAAAGAATGACCCAATACATATTATATTAACAAAAGTAGATTCTGATCAAAATCAGTTTTTAGTATCATCATACTTTTTGGAATGGCGTCAAATACTAACTAAAGTAGGCTCTAAGATGAGCTTGGCAATTGAACTTTCAGGGATTGGTAATTTTATTTATAAATTAATAAAGTTTCTTTTAACAAATATATATTATTTCAGCAAATTTTTTATTAAAATATAAATTTATTTTAGGAGTTGAAAACAAAGTTCCTGCTGGAATGTTAGAATTATATCTAGAATTGCAACCATCTTTAACTTTTCCTTTACAAGCTAATATAGTCTCAGCTCAGTTAGCATTAGAACACAACAGAAAAACTGAACGGGATCGTCTTTTTCTTGCTTATGCAAAACTTTGGTGGAAAGAATATATTGAAATGAGACCAGAACATACTCAAAGACTTGTTAAAATTTTTGCCCAAGATGAAAATGCAGTTGTTCGGCCTGTGTTTAGTTATGTATTTCCACTCACTACAAATAGGCTTTTGGAAACCCCCAGAGAGGCTGCTTGGTTTATATCATTATTTAAACAAAATTTATCTATCTACACCAATATTGATAGGACAAAATATGAACAATGGAAAAATCTTTCTACATTTCTCTCCGTAAAAGAGGGTGTAAGTAATTTTTGATTTTTTTTTTTTTTATTATTAATTGTTTGTAACAATAGATTTATTGTATATTTTCTTTGCAGGATTATGAAGATCATTCTGTTTTACTTTGCTCACTCTTATTAGGTTTTTGCCTAGATGCTTATGTTTGCTTAGGGACATTAAAAACAGATCAGCCTTGTTCCTGGGTAATGACAATTGGAAGACGTAAGCAAATTATATTCTGGAATAGTCTTACTGCTGCTAGGTACAGTATTGAGATATATATAAATTAAATCATCTTAATAGTTCATTTAAAAATTCAAATATTTTTGTTTTCAAAGACAGATATAATTATACTTCTGTAATAAAAGATGATGAATTAAATCAAGTGAAGTACCCGTATAAAACTATTGGATGCATATTTAATAATAATAGATTTTATGCAAACTGCCAGGTAAGAATTTATTACAGTTTTTAATTGAGAATGTTTTTCTAGAAGTTACCTTACTGACGTGAGAATATTTCTAATATTTTATTGTTAATTGCATTTTCTATATTATTCTCCAATAATTATACAATAATGTAAAAATTTTCTAAATGAAATATATTCTTTATACTTTTATTAATTTTTGAATACAGTGGTACCTCAGGTTACGAACGCCCCAGCATACGAAATTTTCAGGATATGACATGAAATTTGAACATATTTTTGCTCCACGATACGAACAAAAACTCACCATACGACGTTACATTAGTTCGCATTTTTCATTTGTTTTTCTTACTACAGTTATTTTTTTAAATGTATTACTTGGCTTTAATTTGAGTATGTTTTTCGCGTTGGAACGAATTATTTGGTTTTACATGTAATCGTATGGGAAAAGATGAT